ATCTATCTATATATATATTTATATATTCTATATATTCTGTATATAATATAGAAATATATATATAGAAATATATATATAGCATATATATATATATATATATTTCTATATTCTATGTATATATATATATATATATATATATTCTATTCATCAAATAAGCCTGAAATATATTAATCATGTTTTTTTTTAATGGAGCAGCACAACTGTTTTCAACACTGATAATAATCATAAATGTTTTTGAGCATCTTATCATCATATTAGAGTGATTTCTGAAGAATCATGTGACACTGAAGACTGAAAATTCAGCTTTGATCACAGGAATAAATTACTATAGATATTTTAAACTGTAATCATATTTTACTGTTTTTACAGTACTGTTTAAATACAAAAATGCAGCTTTCAAAAAACTGTAACTATGTATTTAAATCCTTTTTACTTGTATCTTACATAAAATTTGTACGGATGTTCATGTATTTATTTTGTTTTTGACCGTGTGTGGTAATGTGATGATGTGTGAAATGTGATGTGTGACTCTACTGCAAACAAAATCTACCTTCGGGTATAAATAAAGTAACTTGAACTTGTTGAGCAAAAAACATTACATCACAGTTCAGAATATATTTGAAGAATTGAAACATCTTTCATGTTTGTTTATGAACTATCTAGACAAAATTGATATGCTAGCAATCCATCAGAGTGTGTTTATGATCCCTCCTCACCTGGATAGGTTTGCAGAACTGAGCCACCACCCCATGAGTCTGGGTCCCGAACACATCCGTGAACACCAGGAAGTGATAGGAGTCTCCTCCGCACTCATTGGTTATTCTCAAACCACCTGACCAATGACAGACTCAGTTAGCATCACCGTTAGGCACAGAATCCCGCGAGGAGACGTTTGCGAAGGTTACCTGGGAAGCAGAGCTGCTGCAGGGCTATGAGGTCGATGTTTTGCGGTACGCTGAGATCGTCTGAGACGGGGACTGCCGATTCGCTGAGTTTACCGGATTCGCTGATGGTTGAAACGGGTCGGTCCCTCTTCTTGAAGGAGCGTCTCCGCTGGGCTCTGCTGAAGGCCAGAGCGTGATCCTGATTAACACCGTTACTGGAAGTGTCCTTCGTCACAAACGGTGGAGCGTGAACCTGAAGCACCTCAGCCTCCACCAGCACATCTTTACCCTGCACACACACAACATACACTAAACTAACATCAATACATCATTAAA